CATTTGTTTATGCTGGGTCGATTCATTGCCAACATTATTGTCTCAATATGCTTATTACAATATAACATCATCGTATTTGATTCACAATACTCTGTGGTTATTTTGCTGTCGATAGTACCCCAGTTTGAGGAAAAGGCAGGGCTTCCTGTCTGTGTGTGTGGTGTGATAGAGAGACGCTAAGTGCTTCTCAATTAAGTAAAACATACCATTTTTAACGTTATATGTAACCACACACGTACCTTTAAACAGATTCGGTGCAATGTTGACTACTACTACTTGCACCACCATCACTGAGATACCCTTCGTTATATATGTAGGCTATTCATCAGCTTCGACGGAAACTTATAGGCCTTACTGAGGACTCGTATTTGTTGTTTTCCACAGAGTTGCACATCCTTAAATTTTTTTAAGCTGTTTACGCTTAATGACACAACCATACTATAGGTTCAATTACAACATGTATCACAAAAATATGCCTGAAACCGGCTCAGATTTATCATTTGAAGAACTTCTGTCCAACGCCATACTTGCAAGTGGCGTGTGTTGTTTACTATTTACATTGGACAAACGGCATAGAAGGTAGTTTGTGATTGGCTGAGGGCCTTGCAGCTAATGTAAGCCCTGTCTCTTATACACATCTAATCAGCTTAGTTTACGAATTCTGTGACCCACCGATCCGCGCAATTCACGATTGCCGACAATCGAATTATGTTACAATTTAATAGTATTGACATTTTTGTGCAAAAGCCAGGTAGCCCGGATTGGTGGGTCACAGAATTGAACGTTTTCGATCCTCAACCCACGGTCTACCGGTGATGGGAAAAGGCCAACAGGTGAACAAATCACGCCATGATAGCGGCCGATCCCGAATTGCAAAGACCAAGATATAAAATCAAGTATCATAATGTTTTAAAATGTAACACTAAAATTTGTAAAAGCCGGAACTCAAGGCATAAAAAATAAATAAAACAGTCTCAAAGAGAAACTTTAAGGAATTGCACATTTTGGTCATAAATTAACATTGACGATAGAAACGTACAGTAGACACGACAACAAGTGCTGTACTGTAAACATGATCTGAGAAATGACACGGCGTAGGCGTCATGATTATTTCAATTCAAATTAGCCTACAGTAATGTAATATCACAGACCCTGGGTCTGTGGTTATTTTACTTTCATTCTTTATGGTCTGATAATCCCGTACTGCAATCAAATCGATACGTGGCATCCAAGTGGGTGATCAAAAACAAAATTAAGGTAGGTCTAAACTAATTCCTCCATGGGCGAACTGAGAAAAAAAATAAAAAACAATGTAGGTTTTAGGCCAGCATTACCACCACGAAAGCTACAAAACCGTAGATAAATTTTGTAGGAAACTGTTTATACCACGAAGCTAGGCGTACAGATCCATAGTTACAAACAATAGCCTTATTACGGTACAATGGCGATAACACGGAAGCTTATTTATGGTCTGATAACCCCGTTCTGTCTGCCATCAAATCGATACGCAAGGCATCCAAGTGGGTGATCAAAAACAAAATTAAGGTAGGTCTAAACTAATTCCATGGGTGAACTGAGCATAGAATTATAAAACAATGTAGCTTTTAGGGAGCATTACCACCAGGAAACTGTTTATACCATGGTTTATACCACGAAGCTAGGAATAGAGCTCCATGGTTACAATAGCCTTATTATTCACCGTAGATAATGGAGAGATGCAATAGAGCCTAATTATTTTAGTGCTAAACCGCTGGCGTTTAGCGCCGTGGCTAGAGATACGGTCCGTATTTCTACTTCAATTTGCTAAAGGTACGGTAAATGGCATTACGTCACCATCACCCAATGAAGTGCCAGAATGTGCGTGACGTCATTAAATGACGGAAAATTTTTTTTCAAACTGGCATTGTAGATCACCCGCGGAGAGCGGTGAAAACGAGAACGATGTGCAGTAGGCCTACTGGGAAATTAGAACATCAAAAAATACAATATTGTATTGTATTATTAGTCATCGATAAATAGGCGTATGGTTCTACTTAGCAAAGAGTTTCAATTAGCTAGGCTTATGTATAACCATTATCAAACAAGGACTCTTGGCATATGCCTCTAGGGAATCCGCCTAAACACATACATCGTTCCCGCTTCACCGCAATGCCAGTCTTTAAAAATGACGTCACGCACATTCTGGTCCTTCATTGGGTAATGGTGACGTAATATCATTTACCGTACCTTTAGCAAATTGAAGTAGAAATACGGTACCGCATCTCTAGCCGTTCATCGCCATTTAGATAATCTTTTAGTACGTTGCTGTGTTTTCGTCATAACTCCTGGTAAGCCTGTTACTGATAATTTAATAATGTCTTTTTATTGTATTTCTATAAAATTAATGCAAAATTTACAGTTGGGGAAATTGTTACATTTACAAATCGTAGTAAAGTTCCTATATACAGAGTTGCGATATGAGCGGTCCAGGTCTCGACAGACTTGACTCGAAAATCTCATATTACAGAATTCAGGTAAAAAGGTATCAACAAAGATAAACGTCTACAAAACTTCAGAGATACGTTGCTGTCTAATTGTAAAAAATACATTGATGTTACCATGCTAATAACTAATAGACAATTTAATATTGTACATTTTCATTCAAATGTGATATTTGATTGAGCTGCACGAGCAATAAAGTGTTATTTGAACTTTAGTTTACATATTTTGAAATTTTTATTTTTTAGGTAGGCCTAGGTTTTGGATACTGTACCTATCTACTACTGGTACTACTTTTTGGTACTACTATTACACTGTTATTTTGAAGGAGTTATTTTAACTCGAAAGGACTTATTCTGTACCTTATTTTGGGTACAGAATAACTCCTTTGGAGTTAAAATAACTCCTTCAAAATAACAGTGTATTATTCTGTTAGCAGGCCCGTAGGCGGGGGGGGGGGGAGTGCAGAGGGTGCGGACGCACCACCCCAAATACTAAAAGTCCATTATTTAAAACCTATGATTTCACAAAATCGTTCCTAATTATCACAACATGTTATAGCATGCATTGCATTATGTATTTGCCAGCTTATTTAACCGTTGATTTTTAATAATGTGGTATTAAATTTGTTAGAAATTGATCGTCTCCGGTGATTGCAGATTGATCTATATAATATGAAAAATGTTATCTATAGGCCTGCAGATGTATACTACAGGACATAATAACGTTACTTTTTAAGGTCCCAAAAACACCCAAATTAATTAAAATCTAAATGAAATATTCATGAATTATGTGTTTGAGAAATCTATTATGTAAGACCCTCAAAATGCTACTTTGTCGCTTTTCTCACAAACCCCCTCCGGGCCTCTGCCCCTGGACCACCAAATTTCAAAAGTCCACTTTTTAAAACCTATTATTTCACTGAAATCGTTCCGAATTATCGCGAAATGCTATAGTATGCATTACATTTTTTGCCCGCTCTTCTACCCGTTGATTTTTAATAATGCTGTGCTACGAAATCTGTTGGAAATTATCAGCTCCAGTGATTGTAGGCCTACAGATGTAAAGGACATGAAAAATTATAATTTCACAGTGGAGGATTCAAGGGGGGACAGCCCCCTAAAATTATAAAAGAAATGGAGAAAAAAGAAAAATCATAATTAAAGTTTGTCTGAGAGTGCCATTTCCGGCCACTTTGAGGTGCCATAATCATAAATTTTCTTACCTCAGCCCCACCATGGTGGTATTGACCATCTGTCTGTGCAAGTTTCTCCCTTCACCCCACCCTCTATTTCTCCTGCTTTACTGTAGATCCCTAGACAATACTCAAATGAATGAAAATTTAAATTGGATATTACAAATTATGGATTTTAGAAATCCAATAAAATAGGCCTTCAAAGTGCTAATTTGTCAGAGCTTCCAGAATATTTGCCCCACCCTCGTGGGAATTCCTAGGCAGTCGCCCATCTAAGTTCCACTTCCGGGTTGCAAAGCGCACCTCCCCATCGAAAATCCTACCTACGGGCCTGCTGTTGTTGTAGATAGAATATACTAACATTTAACATACAAGAAGCTTACAGTTAGTCTACATTCCTTAAATCGGTAACCGGCTCATGTCGCCACTTAGTCTCCCTCACTATCTGCAAATACTCTTGCTACATCTTACTAGATAGGAACTCTACATCTTACTCACGTAATACGTTCCAATCTGTCAATATATTGAGGCTGCATTTTTTTTTTTTTTATTTTAGGATAGTTTGGTAAAATCTCATGAATTATTTCATAATAATCCTTAATGAACACATTTATGCACGCGGGGTTTTCAAGTCTGTGTCAGCCTCAATGATCAGCTGCTCTCTGTGCACCTCGCGTAGACCAAGTGTTCGATTTTGATAAAGACGTGCCATTCACTTTTATAGTCTCTGGTTCAGCCTTTGTATTAGGGCCTCGTATTGAATCAATGCAAAAATAAAACAATTGATTTGATATATTGAAGTGATACATTTACTCTCAGAAAATACAATACTAAAAAAGTTCAATTAAAATTTATTAAAATTCTACTATGTAGCTAAGAACATGGCCGGCACAACCGGGGGCGGGGGGAGATTGGCCGGGCCCTCCACTTTTTGGCAGAATATATATAATGTCTATGGCGATTTTTGTATGATCGGAAAGAAATGCCAGAAAAGAAAGAGGGAAGAAGGAAGATAGGGAGTGGAAAAAGAGTGTTTATCCAGTCCCCGACAGAGTTACATTTTCTCACAATTCACATTGGCGGATCTGGGGTCAGAGGTCCTGACCCCTCCCTCCCCTGGGGGAAAAAAATCTAAACCTTCATTTCCAGGACCATGTGAGCTGATTTTTTTTTTTTTTTTTTTTTTTTTTTTTTTTTTTTTTTACTTACAAAAAGAAAATTAAAAGTCGGGAAAAAGCTCATTTCCCGCCATCTAGGAATCAAAGTGTTCTCAGGGGAGGACACCGGACCCCCTTTTACTTTTGGGGTTCATCGATTCATGGAAATAAAAATAGGCCGTATGCAACGTATGTATACCGGTACACACATAATAGGCCTATTTACTGTAATAAGAATGAGTAAAATTTACCTGACCGTTGGGGAAAAGTGGGGAAAACCTTGGAATTTGAAGAACTGAAAATTAAAGTCGGAAAAGCTCATTTCCCGCCATTTAGAAATCGAAATTTTTCCGAGGAGAGGGCCCGAGCCCCCCTTTCTATTTGGGTTCACTGATTCTGGGTTCATTGATTCATAGAATCGTTTTCAAGCGAGGAAAACCTTGAATTTTGAAAAACTTAAAAGGCATTAAATGACACCGCAGAAGTCGGAAAAGCTCATTTCCCGTCATCTAGAAATCAAAATTTTCCCCGGGGGACACGGACCCTCTCTTCCTTTCTCTTTGGGGTTTATCGATTCATGGAAAAAAGAATACGTATGCAAGTACTCTTTTTTATGTATGAATACACACATAACAGGCCTATTTACTGTAATAAGAATGAGAAAGTTTACCTGACCGTTTTCAAGAGGGGAAAAACCTTAAATTTTGAAGAATTTAAAAGTCATTAAAAGACGCTTTGCTCAAAAGTCGGGAAAGGTCATTTCCCGCCATCTAAGAGTCAAAATTTTCCCGGTGACCCCCGGACCCCCCCTTTCTTTTTGGGGTTTTTGGGAAAAATTTTAACCCAGATCCCCCCGATTCATATTCCCATTCATCGTACTAGTGGGGCCCCCCACTTTGAAAAAGTTCCGCCAGCCCTGAAGAAGCTTCGCTCGATGCTGCGAAGCTATAGACTTCGCAAACTATACCCATATATGTGGTCCAGTAATAGGCCTACTTATAGACATTGTGCTTATAGCCTGTAAGCATGGGCGGCGTTAGCGGGGTCCGGGGGAAAAGGACACCCCGTAGGTACCTCTGGACCCCCGCTTGGACCTCCTGTCGCGGAATTTCCAGAAAGGTCGTCGGGGAAAAATAAAATCTCGAGCGCCGAAAGTACAATTCAAGCATGCCTTACTATAATATCATGGAGGAAATATATAATATATTCCATGCTAATATTGGCTGTCAAATTTTAGGGATTAAAAACTGCTTAGTGCAAGCAGTGTTACCGTATGTGCGAGGTGCTATTGCGATCGTACTAGTACCCCAACTTACATGGTTTTCTATCAAACGATTCTTTTTGAATAAAGAATCCCATAATTGTCGGAGAGCTTGGACCCCTCGTCGAGGAATTCTGGCGCGTGCTTGTAAGAAATACGTGACAGTTGTATTTAACACTGTGCTTCACACAAGTAAAAAATGAATGTCTCTTTATTACCAAGATTCCTAATTATGTTAACCAAATATTTTGATGTTTACAGTACCTTGATATATTTCGCGATAATAATAAAACAGACTGGGTGTTGATAAACCGGTATTACAGACTGGATGAAGGCTTTAATGTTACGTGATTATAATACTTGCATAATTCTGAGGAAGAGAAAAAGATCCCTCGCGATGCACAGAGCAGCTGATCATTGATGCTGACACAGACTTGAAAATAGCGCATGCACAAAATATGTTTTAAAGGACATTGTGAAAAATTCATGAGATTTTACCGAACTGCCCTACATTAAAAAAAAGTTGCCAGCAGCATACATGTAGTCATGTACCTATCAATTTTATTTGTCGCTCATGCAATTTGGGGACCCGCTGCAGCAATAGTGCAGTGCGACCCGACAATGTGTATACGGATACATGCGGACACAATTGGCCGGTACCATCGTAACAGACATAAACCTAAGTTTAATTAAGGAACATCTCATGTTTCATGTTATTCCCATTTCCACTCTGTGTTTAGATTCAAACAATGAGAAAAAACGGTGCATCCCGAGGAAAAGGCAGAGGTAGAGGAAGAGGGAGAGGAAGAGGTATTTTTTTTAAATTCTTTTAAACAATACTGGTTTATTAAAACCATTTTTTAACTCTGTGTATTTAGCTCAGTAAACATGCCTATATTCACAGATCTTTTTCATGATAGAGTAATTTATAATTATCAACATTTGACTGAATATAGGACAATAGCATTAAATCTGCGGCTCCTTTTTAACAGGTAGAGAAAAAGACAGACCTGAAAATAAACGTAAACAACACCATCGTGAACAAGGATGTCCAACAACATTCACGGTTACCCCAAAGTCGAAAGGTAGGCGTATGAATTTTTGGCAATAAAGAGCATCAAAATCATCAGTTGTCATCGTCTAAAGGCGAAATTAAAGGGGGTCGGACCTTATATTCCACCGAAAAATATTTCCCAACTCCGATAAGACTCGTAATGAAGTGTATTGAAATAATGATAATATTTATACATGTTCTTGTTTTCTACTAGTCCCTTCAGACAACATCCTGGAAAAAGTTGCATCAAGATTGCGTCAAAACGCATGGAAACCTGTATTTCGAACATTGATGAGACATTCCAACCAAAACATTGAAGGGGTTATTGATTCTTTTGAGTACAAGTATCCTGGTGAACTAAACGAGGTCAAGTATAAATGTCTTATTAAATGGAAAGAATGCATGGGCAAAGATGCTACCGTTCAAATTCTACATGACGCCCTTAATAAAAACTCTCTGCGCTCAGAATCAGATTATCTAACAGGGATTTTGGAAGAAGGTGTGTATTTCTCTAGCTCATATATATTATTTGGCTGCTTTGGTTTGGTAATGACAGATCAATGGAATTATGTTTTGTTTATTTCTATTTTATTTTATTTTATTTAGTTCGAAATTAACAGCGATAAAAATCGCCACTAACTGGTTGAATCAAAACGTAATAAAATATATGTGATAATTTATTAAAGCAATAATGTTTTAAAAATACTATAAATTGAATTCTGTAAATATTAAATTCTATTAAAAATACGATTAATTATTTAAGTTTCAAAGAATTGAAATTCAATAACAATGACTTTATCTCATCCTGTTATTGCTCATTTTATCGCTTATTACAGAGGAAAAATTATTGGAAATAGAAATTCCGGATGAGGAAGAATATAGACATCGGAGACAAAGGTGTGAATCTGGTAACACTTCGCCATTATCTTTGGGATTCGGAAGTGTGATATCAATAAACCAAGACGTGGAAGACATATTCACAGAACCGGAAAGTTTATCAGAAGACAAGCTTCAAGCACTCCTCCAAAGGGTACCATCCGACATTTTGATGTTTAAATTTGATCCCATGGATTACCTACGGGATTTCAAATGTCTTATGATTGATATTGTGAGTATGTGGAACACCCCGCACCGTGGAAATGCACATATTGTCATTGGTGTTGACTACAAGCCTGACAATTGTGGACCTGATGATCTGACGAGCAACAATTTATGTGTCGGGATAACTCAAGAGCAGAGACGAGATAATGATTTTTACCACGGACTGTTCAATGAACATTATTTCAACTATGTACCAGATTTTTTCTACACTGAAATGTTTAGTGGCAGTGATAGTCAAACAGACAAGAAGTGTGTTGGTGTTTTTACTATAACAAATAATGAAAAACGATTTAGAAATGAACCATGTGTTGCAGCGATGTGTCTCGCAAGACCAGATGCTAGTTGGGTTACTGGAGTTGTGTGGGTTCGCAAAAGGGGAAGGAACATGCATGCAAAAGATGAATATCTGAATACAATTTACAATTGGTTTGAAAAGTCAAACAGTGATGTGGCTTGTACGACACCAGTAAAAGAAGAAAGCTCTGATCACAGCGAATTTACAAATCTTCTTCATCATTCAGAAAATTTTTCCGACACTAACGCTTATTGCTTGATTACAGATTCTCTAGTGAATCAAGATGACAGCGAACAAGTTGCCGCAGTCAGTTTGGTTTCTTGGTTAAAAGTTTTTGATTTTGACACCGACAGCCCAAAGACAGGACTTCTGAATGCGTGTGAAGTACAAATTAAACAATCTGGAGTACTACATAAAACAACATGGAAAAACAGTCCTGGAAAACTTTCTTCTGGATCGACTAACTGGTATTTTCCTGCAGGATACACTATTGAGCCTCAATCTGTATTGGAAGATGTTGATTCATGGAAAGCACAAGCCAGTGGGTCCGTTGATGAAAACTGCTGCCAGTTAGCTGAATACTGCACAGCTAGAATTCCGCTAACAGTGTTAGTGTTGTGGTACGGTCAAACGAGTTGTAATTATTTGATAAGACTAATAATGACTCATCTAGAACATTACTTACAAAACCGTTACAAGATGATAATATGCTGTAAAGGAAGGACCGCCGAGGACGTTTCAAAATTGGAATTTATAGTCGAGCAAGTAAATGGCATACTTTTGGCTAACATACCCCTGAGTACTGTATGCGAGGCTATAAAGTATTCACAAAATCGTAAACAAACGAGAAAGGGAAAACTGATTGAGTTTGAACTACCAAGTGTTAGGTCTGATAACAGCCCAATTATTCAGCCCGTTGATAATGTATGGCTTCAGATCTGTCTTGAAGTACTTTATCTAAATTACAACTATCAACCGGAAAGTGGAACAGACAAAGATACACAATTAGGATTGGAATTTCTTCGTGGTGATGTTTTGACGTGGTACGAGCTTCAGGTAGGCAAATATGATGCTGATAGGGACATCATGAAAAGTATAATTTCCGAAGTAGTCTATTCTGTGAAATCGTGCAAATCTAGAATTATTGAGCTCTATCATGACCCTGGAGCTGGGGGAACAACTCTTGGTAGAAGAATCCTCTGGGAAACACATCTATGCAATAAGGCCCCTTGTGTAAATGTCACATCTTTGCAGGACATCAAGGCACTTTCTGAAAGGATTGAATTTCTTTATCAGAAAACACTTCTTCCGATTGTAGTATTAATAGACGGCAGTGATGCCATTTTTTGCCGTCGACTTCTGAAAATATTACAAAACTGCGTGGTTGTTATCATATTATTACAACGAACAGTTTCAAAACCTAAGTCTCAGAAGAATATTTTTCATTTAAAAGGAAAAGTAACAGAGAATGAAGCAGCACATATTGCAATATCCTTTTCAAAATATGCCAATTACAAACAAAGATCAGTGCTTCAGACGTTGGCAATAAGGGTAAAAGAAAACCATACCCATCATGTTTATGAGTTTGGCCTTGCTGTTTACGAAGAACAATTTAAAGGTGTACAGTCCTATGTCGAGGGGTATCTTCAATATGATGGAACAATTAATCGAAGGCAGAAAGTACTTTCTTTTCTTGCACTGGCTTACTATTATGGACATACTGCGGTTCCAGCTCAACTCTTTGCTGAAATACTTGGAGTTAACAAGAAATCTGCAGTTACCCTTAAGGAAAACATGAGCTATACAAATTTCATTGTTGAGTTCTTTGAACATGGAATTAGGCAGTGGCGAATAACGCATTATATAGTGGCAAAAGAAATACTGGAACAACTTTTTGGCAATGCTGAAAGAAGTAATTCCAGAAATGTCTTTTCAGACGGTACAAAGAGAAAAATATGCAACTTGACGTGTGATTTCATTGAAGAGGCTGCTAAGGCGAGTCTAGGTAAACGTAACAGATACTGTCCAGCCATTATGCAAGTTGTTTTATCGACAGTGATTTATCGTGATCATAATGATATTTACTATGGCACAGACGATGTCAAACAACAAAAACGACCAAAGATATCGAGGCTTATTTATGACATCAAGTCCGAATCGCCGTACGAGGAACGTTTAGATGTTTTACGAAAAATTACGGAATGCTTTCCAAACAATCCTAGCGGCTGGGCCCATCTTGGACGACTATACGGTTTGTACCGACCAAATGAAATTGCCAAGGCAACGGAATTTTTTGAGAAAGCTCTGACCTTACGGAAAGAAGAGCTGAACTGTTATAGCAAAGACAGGAAAGAAGAGAAGTGCACTCCTGATTCCCAACTTACTCAAATCCACCACATGTATGGTAAGGTTTATGACTCAGAGGTACGAAATATCTTAGGAAACATGCCACAATATGATACGTTACTTCCAAATGCAACTAGTAGAGATCGTGACATTACTGACCCCAATTCGGAGTTTCATAAAACATTAGAAAGAAGTATCAAGAGTGCGAGATTAGCGATTGATAACTTCATTATGAGTCGAAAATATGTCAAACCGGGATACGAGCAAACATATGGCTACAATGGTGAGCTATCGCTAAGACTGAATATCATCGATTTCACCACAAAGCACTATTCACTCAAAGAATATCTTGACTGTAAAGCAGCTGACCAGTCTTCTAAGGACTTTATCCGGGAATGCTTTCTTAAATGCGACATTCTGATTCTAGAATGCCACGACCTTGTACTTACACACACGTCCGAACAATCTGAGGAGTTTGTTTCTAACGTCAATAGATTTCACGTTCTGTTCTTCGGAGCTGAGGAGGCGTTAGCGATGTGGGAAGGACATGATACAATTCTTAGTAGAAGAAACAAAATCGCGGCCTACAAACTAAAACACAGCGATCGACGTCATCACCACGTTAGCATTGAGATGGTCACTTCCGCAGAAGATGTTAAAAAAATAGTGAAATTACATGAAGATAATATCAATCAAATATACGATGAGGGTATCTTTGACATCAACTTTGATCATGACGTCATTCACTGGCTAAGGATGATTCGATCAACCCTATGTAAACCTAAGTATAGTATTGAACATGTTATATCTTACGTTCGAAAATGGTATGAAGTTAGGAAATCACCCCACGCCCTATACTATCTTTTCGTTCTTAACACACTACTTGGTATTGGGGTTAGGGAATTAAAACAAGAGCAACCTGGGTTATCTAACAATTTTGTTGAAGCACAGAAATTGTTACCGGATCTTCAGCGAATAAGTAATCTTGTCAGTAAACCAGGAATGGCTCTTGAGTGGATTGGCAAACTTAAAGGCATTGATCGATTACTTGATCACAAGACTCTCAAGCACAAAGGGGAGAGCGTTTTTTTCTGGGAAAAAGCTGAAGTAAAACAGTTATTAGAGGTCCGATATGGCTATATTGTCGACTCTAGCAAACATGTAAAGGGAACTATCAACCTTATATTGAAAACAGCAGGATCAACTAAAGATGCAATGACTGTATCATTCGTTCCAATTCGTAATGGTCTTTATGGGAAGAGATATAAGGGAGAGAAAGTAGCTTTTAATCTTGCTTTCACTATGAACTCTGGGTTGAAAGCATTCAATGTATGTCAGGTGAAGACTGTCAAATGCCAGGGATGCAACAGATCACACGAGTACTCGGCTCTGGAGAACCAAAAATATATACACTGTCAATGCAGCCGTGGCAAGCCTATTGTAATTAAAGATGAACTCTTCCAGATGTAGATAAACAATATATATATACTTTTAGTACGTTGCTGGGTTTTCGTCATGTGTTTTTATTGTATATGTATAAATACAAAATTTACAGTATTGGGGAAATGATTAAATTTACAAATCGTAGTAGAGTTCCTATATACAGAGTTGCGACCTGAGCGGTCCAGGTCTAATTTTGTTTTCCGTACGAAACATTTTCATTTAACTACACTTGGGCAGTCTCGACAGACTTGACTCGAAAATCTCACATTACAGAATTCAGGTAAAAATGTATCAACCAAAGATAAACGTCTACAAAAATTCAGAGATGCGTTGCTGTCTGATTTTATGATGTTACCATACTAATAACTAATGGACAGTTTCATATTGTACATTTTCATTCAAATTAAATTGATATTTGATTGAGCTGCACGAGCAATAAAAAGTGTTATTTGAACTTTAGTTACATACTGTGAACATTTTTATTTTATGCCTAGTTACAGTGGCGTATCTAGGTGGATGTGCGGGGGGGGGGGGGGTAGGCCCTCCTCCAAAAATTTCTCGTGCCCCTCCCCCCACAGTCACCCCAAGAAATCACGGTCAAAGAGTTAACAATCACCTAAAAATCACATTAGTTTGCGAGTTAGCGCTCCTCAACTGATATCGAGCCCCCACCCCCAATCTGCAACCCCACTTCAAGACTTTATATACGACACTGCCTAGTATAGTAGTCTTGTAGGTTCTATTCGATACATTACAAGGGTTTGGCCAACTTGGCCTAATTAATGCTGGAATGATATATTAATTTATTATTATTATTATTATTATTATTATTATTATTATTATTATCATTATTATTAGGCCCCTATTATTATTATTATTATTATTATTATTATTAGATACTTACTGTACATTACATCATTCAGGTCTTATAGTGCATATTTTTATGAAGATCAGAGCGCTTTACACTTTTTTGCATTTTTTACTAATAATAATTATTATTATTAGGTCTATTCTTAATAGGCCTACCAATCACACAAGGTAGGCCAAGTTCATTAATGCTGGAATGATATAATTAATTCATTATTATTTAATATTATTTTTCTTACTTAATGTCCTATTTTTAATTTCATGCTTCAATTATTTTAATTTTTTTCCAAAATTTTAATCAATGTCATGTGATGTGAAGCGTGACGGTTGGTGTCAGGCCTAGGACCCAAGCTAGGGGGCCTCTAGGCCTGGTCTGGAGGGGCCTAGGTAGGACCAACTCAGCTTTATTTAGGCTAGGCTAGCCTCTTTTTCTCCAGCTTTTGAAAGTACTGTACCCATCTACAACTGGTACTACTTTGGTACTACTATTACTATTCTGTTGTTGTAGATAAAATATCTAACATTTAAGAAGCTTACAATTAGTAACAGACGTACATTCCTTAGTCGGTAAGCAGCTCATGTCGCCACTCTGTCTCTGTCTATATAGGAACTCAACTTATTCACGTTCAGAGCCATATAAAGAGTCACGACATGATTTCGCTCCTCGGAAAGTCACGTGGTATACACCGTCCATTTTTGTGTCCAAATCTTCCCGATGAAAACATGCAAAGTATAAGAGTTAGGTACCTCATACAATATTTCTACATGTTTAATTGTTTTTATAATGTTATTACTTAATTAATAACTATTTAATATCAAAAGCATGTTTTAGAATATTTCTTTAGAATTCCAATATTTAAGCGTGTTCACGCGCACCCCATATTTAAATGTACATCGAAATTATAATTGTTTATTGTATGACTGAAAAGAGCCGCCTTTCTTGTCAAAAGAGTTATGTTTTGCTCTTTACTTTAGGCCTACACAATATCAGTTTATGTATTGTGGCCAACTGACCTATACTATTTTAATATTTATAAATTATAATAATCAAATTTATAATATAATATTTGTATAGGGCTCGCTCATATTCAAATTTTAAGAGCAACAAACTAGATACCCTATTTATGGATTGTTGAAATCGTTGAAGCCGTCTCAAGGATAAAAGTAATGGTACTGGCCGTTCAATATTGGACTGCATGAAACATTCATTTTGATAAAGTAGACAGGAAAAACGATACGTAACAAGACCAATGAATAAAGGAGACAAAGGATTAATAACATGAAATAGATGTACTCTAATCTATAATCTAATAATATAAAAAAGTAACAATTACATTTATATACATTTTTAATTATTTTTTGCTGGTCGTCATATATCATTCATTTCACCAAAATAACAGCAGCCACTTAAGGGTCTATATGGCAGGATCGCCTAATTGAAAAGTGCTTGCAATCGAGGGGCTCTCCATCTATCGACAAAGATTAAAGAAGTGCTTAAAAATAGTAAATCATTACAATATATGTAATTTGAAATTGGATATGAAGTAGTGAAATCATTAAAAAAAGTCTATAAATATAGTTACACGAAATTTTACTGCTAAAAAGTCTAGATTAAATCATAGAGAAAATAGAACATTAGAACAAATTAAACTACAGGAGGCCGCTAATAGTATTATACCATAGAGAAAATATTTTCTCTATGATTATACAGTACAATTATATACACAGGAAGTTACATCGCGTTGGACACAGAACGCGCATTGCATTGGACACAAAATGGCTTCTAAATTCTCAATGCAGGACCTATATAGCTCCATGCTCAATGTCGCAACTCTTTCTATCTATGGCTCTCTGGACCCCCTCAATCTGTCAATATATTGGGGCTGCAATTTTTCTGATGTAGTATAGTTTGGTAAAATCTCATGAATTATTCATAATAATCCTTAAAGAACACATTTGTGCATGCGGTGCTTTCATGTCTGTGTCAGCTCTCAATGATCAGCTGCTCTGTGCACCTCGCGTAGACCAAGTGTTTAATTTTGATAGAACGAGGGAAGAAGGAGGAGAGGGAGCGGAAAGAGAGTGTTTATTCAGTCCCGGCAGAGTTGCATTTTCTCGCAATTCACATTGGCGGATCTGGGCCAGGGATCCGGACTCCTCCCTTCCTTGGGATAAAAAAAAAAAGAAACACACATTCTAAACCTAAATTTCCAGGCCTTGTGAGCTGCATTTTTTTTTTACTATAAGAAAATTAGAAGGGGGAGGACCCCGGCCCACCTTTTATTTTTGGGAATCATCGATTCATGGAAATAAAAATACGATGCAACGTATGTATATCGGTCCGCACATAATAGGCCTATTTATTGTAATAAGAATGAGTAAAATTTACCTGACCGTTTTCAAGAGGGGAAAAAACATTGAAAGCAGATCCCCCTGATATTCCCATTCATCTTACTAGTGGGGCCCCCACTTTGAAAACGTTCCGCCAGTCCTGAAGAAGAAACTTCGCTCGATGCTGCGAAGCTAGGATTTCGCAAAGTATACCGTACTCGCGCGAATAAGCGCCTCGTTTGAATAAGCGCCCCTCTCCTGTCGAATAACCACCCCTCCTAACATGAAAATTTCCTTAAGCGCCCCGTTTGAATAAGTGATATCATAAGATTTTCTTTTTAGCAAGTCAATAATCCAATCAATTCTGGGACTGTGGTTTTGGCATGATGATGAGTGGAATCACATAATCTTCTTAGGTCAATATCAAAATGAGGATATTTCTCTCGGACAAATGAGTGCTCCGTTCCCTACAGAGACAGTATATTTCCAACTTTCCTCTTACATATTTGTCAGCCCATAGCCAACAAGCTAACCACTACCCACCACCACTAATTGCATCTGCTATTTTGCTGTTATATAAATATTCACAGCATTCTTGTCATGAGCCATGTTCTCTGGACGATTATCTTTTCCGCCTAACCACCATTCGTCCTTACATAATCTTTTTTCATTCAAAAAGTGCCTCTTGAATTTCCTATAAGAACCCCTCGATTTTCATCTATTTCCATAAGCGCCCCTTCAATTTCTACTTTGTTTTCATAAGCGCCCGTTTGAAAAAGCGCCCCGTTTGAATAAGCCCCCCTCAGAAAGTGAAAAAATATTTTAAGCGCCCTGGCGCTTATTCGCGCGAAGTACTGTACCAATAGGACTACATGTGGTCCAGTAATATGCCTACGTTTAGACGTTGTGCTCACTGGAACCTTTGTTGAATTACTGAAGGCTATGCCCATCTAATCTTAACTATAACTAAAATTATTAAAAGAGCCGTTTTTTAACCAAATGTATCCGCTCAGTTCACCCAAAATCCATTTTCTTTCATCTTATTCTCGTAGGCTGTGGTCGGACACACTATTATTCTATATACGTGGACGCGTCTCAACAAAACTCATGGACTATGAAATGCTGACATGCAACTAAGGCCTACTTTCTGTAATGAATATTTTTAAAAACACAATTTAATCAGCCTGTAAGCATGGGCGGCGTTACCGGGGGTCCGGGGGAAAAGGACACCCCTTCAGGGACCTCGGGCCCCCTGCTTGGGCCCCCTGCTTGGACCCCCCTGTCGGGGAATTTTCAGAAAGGTCGTTGGGGAAAAGTCAAAACTCGAGCGCCGAAAGTACAATTTAATTGGTTGATTTCAATCTGATTGGTCGGTTTTTATTTGCTTTCTGTTATACTTCTGTAAATATTGTAAACATTGGATGGGTGAGATTTTGTCATCAGTGTTCTTGAAAATGATCAAATAGACCGAAACGTTGAATCTCAAAATGTCTCTGTCTCTTTTCAGAGTTACTGTCTTTTTGTTTTATACTCCATAAGGAGATTTAATAGCAGTCACTCATTAAACCTCTTGAACAGTCCTACAATATATTAACAAAAACTATTTAGTGTACCTTTTAATTCATGTAATTAAGAATTTCCTTTTAGATAAAATATAGAAATCTGAATCTGAATTGGTTAAGTTTTTTGACATATCGTTTCACGAATCGCCTTTATTCTTTAATCCCTGGTCCTCAAACTACTGGTAGCGACCTAAAATAGGGTCGCCGAAATATTTAGTAGGGTTTCCAGACATCTCTTAAGGAAAATGAACACTAGAGGTAAGAATAGGCGGTGCCCAGATTGGATGACTATTTTGGGCGGATGACATGGCTTTGATAGCAAATGGTGGACATGAACTGCTGCATATGTTAAACCAGGCCTATAATTTTGTGATGTCTATAAATTAAGTTTAAACTACGAAAAACCTAAAGTTATTAAGTGATTTTTATAACAATCTATATGAAAAACAAATTAATGCCAATTTAAGTTAACGCAATGCTAGATTAATTATTTGTTTACATCTACACAAACTTTACTTACACTGAATTACATTACACTTCATTTATTCGTTTATTACACTATGCTATCACTTATTAATATTCTGTTACTTACATTTATTAAATTATTGTAAACTTGTATTCTTGTCTGTTTTATCATTTTGTAATGCGTATTTGAACATATTAATAGAATTTGCGTAATATAATCCTAATTGAACGCCCTCAACATAATTTCATCTACACTGGCGAGTGGACTTATTTTAAATAATGGTAAGGCGTGGTGGCTAGTGTGAACGTAAAGTCCGTTTTAATATAATTGCGGGTTTAAAATGATGCTTCAATAATATGATGACCGGCTATTTACTAGACTTTTTTGAACAGTGCTTGTGGATCACCAAGAGTTAAAACAAAATTATGGCTGGAAACGAAGCACGGTCTGAGTTAACGGACGGGAACACTGAATCATTATTAATGATCCAACGAACTGCGTTCACGGTGCAATCTTTTGAAGAACAATATCGAAGTAATTATGTTCACTCTACCAACTATGAGAAGCAAAAAGTAAGGATAGGCATCAGTAAGCTGTCTTTAGTCAACTTCATGTATCAGTTGCTCCCTATTCTGAAGTGGCTCCCAGCATACAAACTGAGAGATTATGCCGCAGGCGATTTAATGGCCGGACTAACAGTTGGAATTGTTTGTGTACCACAGGGTAAGTGTGTAGGGACCATAGTCCGTTTTGTTTTTAGTAAGCATTATATTTAAACACTGATAAGTCTCTTGGAACGCATTTTGCTTGCTTTTTGGCCGTAATATGGCCATAATAATAATCATTGTCGTCGTCATCATCAGCCTCTACATCAGTATCATCATCATCTTCATCATCATTATTACCATCTTCATCTTCATCATATCATCATTATCAGTATATCATTAATAATATTATTATTATTAGTTAATTACAGTGTAGTAGGCCTATATGTGTATCATTGATAATTATTGCTGTTAGGACTATTATTATATACTTAATGATCGTTATTGTTATCGTCGTTATTGTTATCATTAACATACATGATGTAGGCCTAAAATAGAAACGGAAAATGCTGTACCAGTGATATTTAAATACTGAAGTGATTAAAAATAGATAAAAGCCCTGGAACTTCTATAGTAAACCGAATCGCTACCCGAGACTCCTTACTCCTTCTTCTCCTGATTCTAGGTATGGCATTTTCCTTGAATGCAAATCTGGCTCCAGTTTATGGCCTTTATGTATCGTTGTTTCCTGTTCTTGTTTATATTTTGATGGGCACATCGCACCACCTGTCTATGGGTAAGTATTGATCTGTTGATTTTGTTTTTGTTTTTCCTTTATATTTCATTTTTCAATATTTATTATTGCATGTCATCTCAGAATGAACTTTATTAGAATATTATATAAGCGCCGCTCTCGTAATTTTGGCTCCAGAATTTTTTTCAGGGGAGCCCAACAAGACCGGCAGAGGGGTCTGATGCAAGGGGCCGCCTTGAACCTCGGTCAGAATCCCTGAATAAAAGCATCATTATTTAGTACTGCTAAATTGTACATTTGAATGTTCTCAGGTACATTCGCAGTCATAAGTATAATGGCAGCAAATGCGGTGGAGAAGTTATTGGCAGATGTTGATTTTCTTGCGCTGTCAATGGACACTGGTGGGGCTTCATCGGCAGATGAGCTACAGCAAATAGAATGGTTGAAGGCTCACACGGCCCTTTGCTTGCTCGTTGGAATAATGCAGGTACAGAAACACTAACGGCAGCTGTATTTCAATTACGAGACAGGCCTACCAGTATTTTGTTAGGAAATATGATTTAATTGTAATATTCCACTCTTGGTACAGCTGAACCGTGGAACCTTTCGTCCCCACCACTTCAATTTCATCCGCTGCTCTACTTGGGTTTCAGCTACAAGTAGTCGTCTTTGGGGTTAGACATTTAAGTCGTTGGTCCCGTGTGCAAAATATGACTAATGTGCACGTAAAGTCTCCGCACGTCCCACCCACAAATACACATAAGAAACTATAGCTTAAATACGTAGTCGTGTTCCAAGACTGCTTTGTATATGCAGGTCCTACTAGTTACTGTGTGTTGGCAATGTGAATCTCACACACGAGCACGTGGCAAATGGGTTTATATAACATTTATAAATACATAGGAACCCAAAAATGTATCATTCATTTTTTGCAGGTTATCATGGGAATATTAAGATTAGGATTTGTGACAAAGTATCTCTCGACCCCTATTCTGCGAGGATTCACAACAGGGGCCGCTTGTCATGTTTTGACAAGTCAATTTAAATATATGTTTGGTTTAGAAATTACTGCATCACCAGGCCCTTTGTCAATTGCATATGTAAGTATATTATTTAACACAATTCAAATTCATCAGAGATACGTTACTACATAAAGTAAAAGAAAATTTAACAATGTTGGCTTCAATAACACCCCAAATTTTTAGTTGAGCCACGTTTGCTATATTTCGATTCAGCAAATGGGCTGCAATGTACAATTATTTTTTGAAATATAATTTTAAAAAAATTTAAAAAAAAAACCCAGCTGAATTTCAACTATACATTGCCATTCTTTTGGTATGGATTATTAATTTATCCATCGATCGATAATATATCAATCGATTGATAATCGTTGCTTTATGAATCGATCGATAATCGATGGGCTGAATCACACAGCCATGAGTAAATATTTAGGAATCAACGGACTTCAAAATTTTTTATAAGCGGCGTATATAGTATACCTAATGGAAGTCAATGCACTGAGTGGGGAAGAAAAGAGGGGATATAAATTAGGAAATGAACAACTCAAGCAGTAAGAAAAATGAATGCACAATCAAATGAGAGATTTACCATACGTGTTAATGAGTCAGCAACTGAGTCAGCGAAGGATTGGAAGATGAGCGGATGACAGTGAGACATTTAAATAATAAATGTGAAAAATACATAACGCATTAAAATGAGTATCAACAAAGTAAATGTTTAAAAATGAGAGTGGAAAGAATTCATAATAATGGAATACTGTATTAGAAATGCAGATATTATCTCCAAGCTAACAAGCATGTTGTGTTTCTACAGGTATATATGGACATTCTTTCTAGCCTGCACAAGTCCAACCTAGCAGCTATTACAGTATCTATTGTTTCTTTAATCGCTCTTGTTACGGCCAAGGAAATTATGCAAATATACAAAAAGAAGTTTAAGATGCCTATGCCTATTGAGCTTATAGTGGTAATTGGTTACTTTTATTTTAACATAATGGCACTTTTAGAATCACATTCATATCACCAATATTTTTTTAGCTGAACCGGCAATTATTGTTATTATAATACTCATAATGATTCAGAATTATAAACATGCTCAAAGTCTACCCATAGCTGTGGATATTAGTAAAGAGAATATTATTTTAATATGATTTTACGCTTATTTGTAATTTTTTATATCGGTTTTGTCAATGGAAAAAATAATACTTTCCGAACAGTTGAGTTTTCTTGTGTTGTGTAGCTTGTATCACACTATATTGATAGTGCAATAGGTGTTTTTCCTCTCTTTCTTTAGGTTACTGGTTCAATTGTAGGATCACATTTCCTTAAATGGAATGAGAAATACAGATTAGATATCCTTGGCAACGTACCGACTGGGTGAGAAATGTTTTTATTCTATTGTAAAAATAGAAAAAAGAGCATGTTAATAGACCTTTTTTAGAGTTTCTATGCAACTTAACAACTGACCAATCAGGAAAGGAAAAGGATTACGCGCGTGTACACAAACAAACGATTACGTAGTTTACGCTGTCTATTTTGTGAGGCATCCCTTAGCAACAAATATCCAAGGATAACGGTCCATTCTAGCATATCATAAAACCTCGAATTAAAACCCAACAATGGGCTTAATTTCGAGAAGAAGCACATCTCAAATTGAAGCCCCGCCCTCCCTCACTTTAGTTTGCAAAAGTAGCCTGGAAAAGAAGCCCATTGGTTTCTTTTCGAGATAGTACAGTACATACTGTACATGAATTTTAAAGAAACAAAATAAATTAAAAACACCCTTGGTTTATGCAGTAGTTTAGGTGATTTAATGCCGGTTAATATGACACTCCATGGTGCAGACTGGCGTTAATAATAATAATAATAATAATAATAATAATAATAATAATAATAATAATAATAATAATAATAATAATAATAATAATAATAATAATAAGATTTATAAAGCGCACAAATCCACTACAGTAGTGCTCAAGGCGCTAGAATTGCGAAGGTTTATAGTATTTACAGTTACAGTTAAGTGGCCACTATTTATTGTTTAATGATGTAACAGGGGCGGATCCAGGATTTGAAAAAGGGGGGTTCATTTTTCAATAAACTCAAAAACGAAAGGGGGGTCCTCCCCCGGGAAAATTTTGATTCCTAGATGGCCGTTAATGAGCTTTCCCGACTTTTAAAGGTGTCTTTTAATGACCTTTAATTTCTTCAAAAGTCAAAGTTTTACCCTCTTAAAAAAAAGGTGATTTTATCTCATTCTTAGGCCTAGAAAGTAAATCAAAAATATGTTCAATATACTATTAAGCCTATATCATACCAAGTCTTACGCATTCGGTGTGAACCTCACGTTTTTCGAACAAACCTCAAGTTCTCAAGCCACTCCTCTAAAATTTTACAATTTTCCACTAATCTCAAGCTTTATGATTAAACCCAAACTTTTTATCGAAATACTACAAAAACCTTCGCAATTCTATACTAGTCTTTATCAGGCCCATGTCATCGAAAATTCAATCATTCCTGTTATAACTTCACATTTTTAAGGTTTAATTTCAGCACTAGATATATTCAGAGTGCACCAGAGAGCATCTAAGCCCAAACTTTTTCGGGGCCCTTGACGGGCCCTCGACTCACGTCAATTGGGTTTATTTCCTGTTAAAGCTCAAGCCTCTAGCTACCTCCAACTTGGCATGTATTTTATATTCGAACATTATTGAGTTGGATATTGAGTAGTCTTTCTTTCATAGATCGATGAACTAATAGGCCTGAAGAACACACTTTTCGTACATAAGTCATTACGACGTCGAGCCAAAACAGTGTTTTTAATTGTATTTATTTGAATGCTAGTTGGGCTAAGCCTATTTTGTCCAATCTGCCAACCTATGCCTAGGTAGGTTACATAGTTACCAACCTGAAATAATTGAAATGCGCGATTTGAAACGCGGGCCGGCAGCCAGCAGAGCTACCGTCGGGGTCCAGGGTTGGGGCCCCGGTGGGGGTTCTGGGGGCCGATACCCCATGGGCGTTCTGACAATCTGAGTATTTTTAAGCTGCTTTTAGGGAGTGTTTATTGACTATATCAGGTACATAAACAAAAATATTTTTAATAAAGCCACGTGCAATTCGAGTTTCAATGTATGTTTAATTTGAGCACCCGAACTATGGACACAAACATTCATCACTCCAGCAAACAAAAAATAAATGGAAAAAGTGAACCTTTTCTAACACTCGACACTCTTTCTACCCCTCCTGTTATACTCCTACACCCCTGATTCTTAATTCATTTGTTTAAAGGACCAACATTTATTTTGAGTTGGGCTCACGGGTCAAAAGACTGAGTACCGGTAATTAAGCAAGTCGTTATAATGTTTTTGGTAATTTCGAATTCTACAGTTTGTTACAATATACCGGTATGGTAACAAATTCTGTAACTTTAAGCAAAGAATACGTACATAATTATCCTAGTTGGTTAAAACAATAAGAAATTGCATTTGGTGTATAATAAACGTTAGTAACATAAACATTAAAATTATATATAATACGCATACTTTATAAAACATAAATTGACCTAATTTTCTGATAGATAAACAAATTAAATAACATTAATTACATGAAATATATTTAATGTCCCGCACGACGCGAAACGGTTGGTAATGCCTTTTGTAAGCCAGGAACCAATAGTATTTTGTTACGTTTCTTTACAGAGGGGGGTTCGTCCGACCCCTAGAACCCCCACCCCCTGGATCCGCCACTGGTGTAATTCCCAAAATTTACGGTATTTCAACACAACGTATGATTAATGGTTAGGTTGAGTACATACGAAGATTGCCTGTAGATTTGAAATCAGGACATCAGAATCGTAAGATACTTTAGCCACTGCTTATTTACATTTTATTTATTGTTTAATTCTTTCAGAATTCCAGGCCCGAGTTTACCCCCAATTAAATACTTTTCTCGTCTGATAGCAGATGCATTTGTGATAGCCATTGTGGCGTTTGTGTTAAACATATCGCAGGCAATAATTGTTGCTAGCAAGAATAACTACCGAGTTGATTCCAACCAGGTAATGATCCTATTATGAAAACATTAATGTGTTGATCACTATGGGTCTATACTTATTTTTTTTTAGACGCACTACGTCTCAAAAGCAGTCCTCCATCATGAATCAAAAGTTTGCAGTGATATGACGTCATACGTCTACGTGTTATCTCAGAGAGCGAAAGTCAAAACGCTGCTGAACACGTTCTCAGATTTGGCAGTCGTCGTGTTAGTCATCAAAACTACGTCATAGGTAGTCGACATAGTGGACGTGCAAACCGAAAACTCCTTATTATAGGCATGTAACTACAAATACTGAACTTTAAATGAATGAATGATTAAACAACCGTGAGACTCGGATTCCACCCTTAAGAAATGTAAATGTATTGCACTTCTGGGGTTAGCAAACTTCGAGCTTTGCTCTTCTGGTTAAGCCACGATTTTTTTTTTATTGTACTGTTATATTCATTCATCTTTGGTGAATAAACATTCAATTTTTCAGGAATTCATTGCATATGGCTGTGGGAATGTAGTTGGCTCTTTCTTCTCATGCTTTACGGCTTGTGCGGCACTTGCAAGGACACTCATTCTGGACAATACTGGAGCCAAAACCCAGGTACAAAGTTATAAATATTATCTATTGAAGTACATCAGAAACATAGGCCTTAAGAAAACTTAGTTTTAATGATGTGCAAACATTTCTACAAAAGTCGGACTTAAAAATGAACCCGTAAACATACGCATAGAAGCCTAATCTACAAAGTTCTGGTAAAATTAACGTGAGGTAAACTGGTAAGGGGTGGAGGGAAGGGGAACCTTGTTAGCCCCCAAGACACACTTAAAGACTGTCTTAGATTTATCGACATTACTCCCCACAACACAAAGGTGAAATCATTCCACTTTTGTTGAAGTTGTTAATACCAATAATTATCAATAACAATTTTTATTGAGAATTAAAAAAAAAAATAAAATAAAAACTTATGGCTATTATTTTTTTCAGCTAGCTTCTTTTATACAATGTCTGTTTGTGTTGGTGGTCCTACTTGCCCTAGGGCCATTATTTGAACCACTTCCAAAGGTAAACATTTTTATAATCATTTTATAATAAAATGCTCCAATTGATTATATTTTGAAAAAAATGATTATATTTTGAAAAAAATGATTATATTATGAAAAAATAATATTAATTATTAGGCCTATTATTTATTATTTGTCGCCCAAAAAATTTCTTAATTTTGATTTTGTGACAGCCTGGTGTATTATCATCAAAATAAAAGAGAAAAAGATAGGGGTCTTCGTTTTTGGGTCTTCGGTCTTCGTTTTATAGACACCCGTTCCTGCTGCGCCAAATCCACAAAAGCAGACCAGTAAATTCACAAAATAATATTTAAAAAAATACATAACACGTTATTTATATGTTCAGTGTGTCCTGGCCTGTATTATAACAGTAGCTTTAGCTGGAATGTTCCGTCAATTTGCAGACCTCAAAGTTCACTGGAAAACCAGGAATTGGTGGGATCTGGTAAGCAATTCTATTTAAAATGGACTCATAGTTATTTAATAATAATAGCGAGGTGTAATAGGTTAATATAATATTAGCAGTAATTGGATTGGATTGGATTTATTCGGTGTAAACACCAAGGATAGCCCACGAAAGTAGAAGAAGACTTATTTCCAGTGGGGTCCTTCTGGTGTTGATTGGGCAGTACACCGGGAGACAACCCCCTACTCTTTTCCGAAGAGTGTACTGCGTTCTTTAACGTGCACATGGGCCATAATGCACACGGGACCAACGGCTTAAACGTCTCATCCGAAAGACGGTGCGCTATTGTAACTTGTATTTCAGCCCTCTAGCTGAAACACAAGGAGAGAGAGCGATGGGAATTGAACAATTATTATTGTTGTTGTTATTACTGTTGGTATTAGGCCTATTATTAATTAAATTGTATATTTGTTTATAATCAATGATAGTCCTCTTCCTATTTTTATATAGAAAAGAACAGCGTAACAATAAAGAACATTGCCATGTTCGTTAAAAATCAAGAGATTGATCAATCGATCAAGTAATTGTTTGTTTAATGTATTCATCAACAAATCAATCAATCAATCAGCTAATCAATTATTGTAATTTACCAATAGGCCTACTTGAGTAGTATTTCACTACGTCAGATGCATGCTCATAGTTTATAATACATGTCAACAATCATAGAGGGTATGCTAGTATTTTCGTTTGTCTTTAGATCACGTGGTTGGTAACATGGTCATCGGTTACATTTATTGGAGTGGATATTGGTCTTCTTGTCGGAGTTGCATTTGCTTTTCTATTGGTTGTCATACGTACACAGAGACCTAAATGTGTAATGTTAGGACACATTAAAAATACGGAAATATATAAAGAGATAAGCACATATGACCAGGTGAGTAGTAATTGACCTTTTGTCAATCAAACCTAACAATTGAGCAACCAGAACGTGTTATTCAATAGCCAGACCTGAGATACGCACATATCATCTAGCCTATAGTTTTGTGGTATCTTTAGCAAAAATTTCCAAAGGCCGGGATCTTTATAGTTTGTCAAACATTTTCATAGGAAATTATTCCAGATGCAAACTACTTAATGTCTTTAAAAATTGTTAAAATTAAAACGAATTTTTCAAATGTCAACATCGAACGATATTCGCATGTAGGTTTTGTAAATTTCACAATCGGTCAACACATAAAACTGCTATGTAATTTATCGTGGTTTTTTTTTTAATACTAGTGTGAACCATTATCTGGATTCAAGATATTTCAAATGAGGGCATCACTGTACTTTGCAAATGCGGATTATTTCAAAGATAAACTTGTGGAAATGACGACCATAAACCCTTACGATATCTCAGAGAAGCAGAACAAACAAGATGATAGAAACACAAATGTTAGCGTTACTAAAAGGAAATCCAAAAATGTAATTGTACGTAGAACAAATAAATAATAGTAATAATCATCATTAATATTAATAATGATCATAACCATAATGATAATAACCATATTAATCATGAAAATTATAGTAATAGTCGTTGTAATAGTAATAACCTTTATATGTGATCCTCAGTTACCAATTTGTACTTGTATTCCATGTTTATGATACTTAAAAAATCAATCAAATAATAATAATAATAATAATAATAATAATAAATAATAATAATAATAATAATAATAATAGTTCACATCAACAAAGTATTTTCAATTCAATTCATTAAAGCTAACCACAAACCAAGCCAGAATCCTAGTTTATTATTCTTTTCAATATTCTATTTTCAAATTTCTATTTTTATTTTTCAGTCTGAAAATATTGGAGTGAATGAGTCTAGATGTAAGGGAATTGACCCGGAAGCAGTTGATCTGGAAGGGGGAACACAAGAAGGGCCGATCCACACATTGGTTATTGATTGTGGCTTCTTCTCATTCCTTGATTCTGTTGGTGTGACAACGCTTGATGATGTTATTAACAGATACAGTGCGATTAATGTTACTGTAGTTTTGGCAAATTGCAAAGGTAATCATTGACCTTCAGACTTAAATGTTCAACTCATGTAGGCATATATAAATGTATATATGATTGTTGTTAATCTATTAAATTTGTATGGATTATAGTACTGTATTGTTATTTATAATTGCGTATGAAATGTAAATGTGTGTATTGGTATGAGCTTAGAGGAAGTCCTCCATGATATAATCGGTTGCGCCCGTTACAAGTTTCATTTCCATGAGGACATTATTATGAATCTGAATCTATGAAAAATAATAATAGGCCTAGTATAAGTAGTAGTACTATAATGGTAGTAGTAGCAGCAGCAATATCAATTTGAAACCTCAATTTAACAATATATCATTACATAAAAGGCCTAAATTCAAACTGATTGATGATAATAAAATATATTAATTTAATTAATTGATTGACTGATTCATTGATTAATTAACAGTACTGTAATAATCAAAGCAATAGTACAGGTACTGTTTCTGATGTTTCACAGCACAAAAAAATCAAGTTCAAAAGTACTTTTCTTTTTATATATTGCTAATTTTACTCTATATCTTTTTTTAGAAACAGTTTTGAACACTTTAGAAAGTCAAACATTTTTTGAAGAACATAGCAAGGATCGATGTTTCCCCTCCCTCCACGATGCCATCATAATCAGACAGGTAATAAGCCAATTTGTAGTTTAAACTGCGCATGCCCGTGTCCAAGGTCATTCGGCATAAACCTGTTATGTGTATGTCTGCTTACGTCATAAACCTGTTATGTGTATGTCTGCTTACGTCGATTGAGTGCAACTTTTGGGTTCCAGGGTTTCTCTAAAAAATATTGAAAACCATGACCGCCACCCAGGGGCGGATAGGGAGCACGGGGGTGGAAATGGCACTCTAGACCTAAATTCGATTATACAATTTTTGAAATTTTTTTTTTTCATTTGAATTTATTCAACCGCATGCATACACTTCCTAACACATAAGAATACAAAGGTGATGATTTTTGTACGGTACGGAAGCTTAAAGTGACCTTCTGAGTTTCCGAGTTTCCAAGATAATTATCTTGGAAACATGGAATAAACTACGGAAGCTTAAAGTGACCTTCCGCGTTTCCGAGTTTCCAAGATAATTATCATGGAAACATGGAATAAGTATTTATTAAGACGTCTTTCCGAGATAATTTATCTCGGAAAGACGGATTTCCGAGAT